GTTTTCTCAACTTGAAACTTAATTTATGTAAGAAAGTAGCACAAGATGTTACGGTTCACTTTCTGAATTATTATCCCAGTTGAAATATTTACTTTAAAAAAAAAATGTGAAAAAGAAGTGACTCTCTGTAGTATTAGTGTTACAATTCATAATGAAGTTTAGAAAAATTGGGTCCACTCCACTCTACTCAGTTCTTGAAGTTATTGTCTTGATTGAACTAATTAACAGTAATAGTGTTTTTGTATTCTATGTTAGACCTGTTTCACTTCTGTTAAAAGTCGGGTAAACTCCAGAAGTTGAGTATAAACAGTTACCAAAGGATTGGATTGGGCTTTTAAGAAGAAATTCTTTTAAGGTTGAGCTGCTCTAAAGGCAGAAATAATCTCACCAGCTTTACTAATGCATAACCTTTGACCTATCAACAGAGTAAATGGCACCAGTGAAAGGTGCCTCTTTTGCTACTGTAGTGGCACTACTGAACTACTGTTGTGCACTGATGTGGCAGGAACCATTTATAATCAGATTTAGTGTTCAAAATTACAGATGCGGTTGTGTAACACTCTTGCGTCTGTTTGTCCATCCACATGGGACACAAAGAGCAAGTGGTTGAAATGCAAAGACAGAGCTGTGTTTACAGCAGTAGAAGTGGAAAGAGGAAAAGGAAGATGATGGTGTGAAAGCCCCGAAGCAGAGTTGGTCATCGCATCTCTTCCATGAAACTGTCCTTTGACTTTTGCCCCCTTTAAGACAAGTCATAAATGTGACATGGTGCATTCAAGTGTCTTTGTTTGGAAGTAATACCAAAAAGCAGACAAAAATCCGATGTTTTGTAGGCAATAGTCGAGCACTATGGACAAACAATAACAAATATGGCACTGCAGATATTTTGATTTGTCATATTAAGAAAAGCACAGGTGTAAATAATAAAATTAACTATGGTTCCGTTCTATTTAAGTGTTGCATTAAACCATGACAGTGACACTGACACTGAATAAATATAATTCAGCCATCATTCATATTTTTATTTACACCTATTCCGTTCCTGCTGTGATATGTCAAAATGTTTTCAGTGAAAAGGACTTATTTTGCATCATTTTCTGAAATGTATCTGTCTCTTGTTGAACATTTAAGATTGGGAGTGGGGTTTAATTTATTTTATCAGATCTGCATACAGTATTAAAACTACTTATTAAACCCGGATCCCTTTGAGGCAACAAATTCTCCACTCCATACATGCAAGTCGGTCGTTGTTCTTACCCTCAAATACAACCCAGAGCAGTGTTTCATAATGTAGCGCCCACACCGGCGGCAAGAGCAACAAGTCCTCCAACCCTCTGATACGACCCATAGGAGTGTCTCCTGAAATAGCGCCCCTATGGTGGCATGCGTACCGGACCTCGGTTGTCATGGTTACCATAATAAACACGTGACAGTACCGAGAGTGGCGTACCAAATGTTGTCGTGGTTACTAATAACGGTAATGGCTTGGGTAGGTTTAGGCACAAAAACTGCTTGGTTAGGGTTGGGAAAAGATCATGGGTTGTGTTGAAATAAGTGCTTCCTGAACATCAGACAATCTTTGTTGACATGGTTACAATAATAACAACGAAAGATCATGGATAGTAGACACAATATAGCCTAAGCTACTGGTTTCACATGGGAATCGAACATCGATCTCCTGTGTTATATTCCTGTGTTTTGTTGACCCATCCGTCTACCACAGCCTCCTCCTCACACGGACTTTGTCGCTCTATATCCAACGCCACGCCAGTTTTCCCTTTGCTCCTGTCATAAATACTACGAGCACTAGATGTCACCTAACAACAAAAACTAATGAGAAAAAACTATGAGCCATAATAAGCTGCTGAACAAACGATCTGTCTGTTCATTTTTCACAGGAAGACAGTCTCCTTTGAGGCCTTTCTGTGGCAGCTCTTGACATGGGTTGTTGTGGAAAAAAAGGACAAACATTTTTAAAACATCAAATAATTGTGCTGCGTTGAGTGGTTTTTACATTGCTGTTGAGTAGTCATCCTCTCCCTCATCTGTTTCTTTAACAGAAATGTGCCATAAGATCTCTCACTGGATCTCTAGTTAGACCCAGTGCCCCACTAACCATCTCAGTGTGTAGCCATATTGTTTGTCAGTTAGATAACTGTGGCAATGTCATTAATCTGAAACTGGAATCATTGTAGATTGTAGCTTGGCGTGATCGTACATTAGTAGTAGTAAAATAGGTTTGTAAGACATTTAGAATAGTAGAAAGTGGAAATATATAATGAAATGCATAACAAATACAATTTAGTTGCATGTGAATCACCTCATTTCAAACTACAATAAGATGACTTTTAAGGTTGTAGACATTGCTTTGTGCTAACTAAAAGTACCACATCAGTGTCTTAGAAAATGTCTCAAGGTTCCATGTTTTATTAAACCAAAGAGCCACACTTGTTTTACTGTAACATTAACTCAGAATTGATTGAAATAATAATAATTACCAATAATTAAAGTATTCATTTAATTTATCTTCCACATTTAGTAAGTTAACATGCAGCTCAAATGAAAATTAATGATGAATTTGAAAAAGAGACCCAATGGATCTCCTTAACAGCAAGCATGTCTCCAAAGGCAGGTCCTGTCATCAGTTTCAAAAAATTCCTCTGTAACAAAAACACAGTCAGTGTGTGTTTGCCTATTGAATTTAGGAAGCCGAGCTCTGTAGAAGATCCTGGGGTCTTAATACTGGGCTGGTGGCAGCAGGCCCACACCCGATCGATGGCATTTCACTCCCAGTGGGCCTTCTAGATATGACTGGCCTATCTGACAGGGCCCGACACACACACACGCACGCATGCACGCGCGCACACACAAGTGCACCTGTTTTCAGGGTAATGCACATGTGCACACCTGCACATTTTGCTCACTGGTACTATCCAGATGCGCACACACGCACATACATTGAGACAAACTTGTGCTTATGGTCATTGAAATGCGCACACCTACTCTCTGCTATCTTTCTGTTCCTTTCTCCTCTAATCTTTCCTCCTCTCACACTCACTTGTGCACACACACACACACAAATACTCAGCAGGAGGTGAGTGGCATGGCTTGGAGATAAGGCTGCTATCAGACCTTCATCAGGGACGGCTGTACTCTCATCTGTCACGGCTGCCTTTTTCTCTATCAGTTCCATCAACTCTTCTTCCCCCTGCTCCCTCTCAGTCTTCTTCCTGTCCTTGTCCATTATATTTGACCCTCTACAGGCTCACTTGAGTCATTGGGAGGAACAAGATATTATTTTCTTGATGTTTGAAAGACATGGTCTTCTTTCTGTAAATGCCAGTGCACTTGTGTTGTAGTACTTTGGCAGTAGCTGTTTAAAGATTTGTCAAATACTAAAAAAGTCATTCAAAGCCCAACAGGAACCCACAATGTTTTTTTAACTTTCCCATCTCCAAGTGTTAGTAAATGAAATCAAACCCTGCAATGCGCATGCAGTGGAGGATGGTGGGTGGAGGTACAAATTAAAACATTTCTGGAAGAGATGAGATTTCAATTTACTGCTGAAGATTAGAAGTGACTCTGCAGTACTGTGTGAATTGGGAAGGTCATTCTACCAACAGAGAGCCTGTAATGAAAAGAGAAATGAGCATTCTTGCTTTTATTTATTGCAACAGTCAATAAAGGAGAAGACGATGGAGAAAAAAAAAAAAAAAAAAAAAAAAAAAAGAAAAAAAAAAAAAAAAAAAAAAAAAAAACAGGGAAAGAATAAAAACTAGGTCCAAATACAAAGCTTCAGACCCAGCTGGAAAATATCTACAAAAGAGACATTGTGAATTTCAATATCAAAATTCTGCTATCAATCTAATACATTTGTAACATTATATCCCACCAGAAGAGGTCACCTGCAATCTAAGCACCCACCATTTGCTGATGAGCCTGGGATGTTGGGGGGGGGGGGCATGTGTCTAATGTGGGGCAAAAGACATCAAGATTGAAACTGTCAAGAGGAGTAATGACCTGGGTTGAGGTGTGTGATTAAGGAATGTAATGCTGTGTGTGCATTCTGAGTTGACAATTTGCTAAGCGCCTCATAATCCAGTACTGGCTAGTTACAGCTGCTAAGATATGATTTGATTTACTAAAATAAGTTTGCTATGATTTTCTTGACTGAACAATAATGGTGTATAAAAGAGAACTAGCAAATTAAAGGCTCCTGTCCATTCTTCACTCTAAATGTTTCTAAACCAGTCTCAAGTTTTCTGAGAGTATTCTCTCTGAAATAGATTTTGGCTATAGAAAGTAGTTTGGACTCGATGTCAAACTGGATATGAAGGATCTCACATCCAAACAGAATCAAACTGTCACAATCATGGTGCCAGAGTACAAGAACAACATAGTGCTTATCCACTCACTATTACACACACTTTCACAGGTTGGAGCAGTTACATGACTGTCATGAGAGACCGACTCTATAAAAATGTAGTAAGAGGATTTCTCAGTGCATTGTCTTTTGCCTTGAAAAGTTTTACAAGAGTAGTGCTGGTTTAATATTATCATTCTTTATAGTGTGCTAAGCAGATGTCCTCACAAGAAATCTGTGTCCGTCCAACTTTCTAAGTATCGTCAGTTTTCACCATCCCCAAAGTAATTTCTCTAGAAGTGCATGCACACATACACACACACACTTACACTGAAGAGTCACTTTCACGCTCTGATGTTACCAGCTCTTGGGCATAGCTTTTCTACCTATGTCTTATCATACATTAGACCTGATATAGCGGTGTGTTAAGCTTTGATGGAGTTCAGGAAGAAGTATTAGGTGTGATATAATGTACTGGAGCAACAGAAGCGTAACGCTGCCAGCAAGAAGCCACCAAGCCTGCTGTAAGAGGTGATTAATACACTCTTTGATGTTTTACCACTAAAATGGCTAGCAGAAATAATCCGTTTACAATGGCTATGATGTATGTGTGTGTGTGTGTGTGTGTCCATTCCAGTGGAGTTCAATACACTGGACCTAGCCTCTTTGCAGTCTGTCCGTCAGTTTGTCCAAAGCTTCAAGAAGCGGGACCTGCCGCTAAACATCCTGGTAAATAATGGTGAGTGATGGAAATATCATGTTCTAGCCATATGTGGGCTGTGTACTGTATAAAGCAGTCTATAAAGTATTCAGTGAAAAAGAAAGAAATCCTCTACATAGCAGTGTAACTCATTAATTTGGGCAGTTGTTCCCAATCTTTTACTCCTACACTGACACCACCTGTCCGGTTCCAAATAATGTGTTTTAATCAAGTTTGTATTTGTATGACTACCACTTGGACTGGCAGAGGCTGCATGTTTCAACCATTTATCCATTATTTTTTTCTATTTCAGCTTCTATGCTTGGCTGCATACTAGTTTTCATGCACTCTCATTGACAGTATGTATTGTTCAGGCTGCAGATGTGATCTGTCTCCTTACTGATGAGCCAGCCACTGTCATTGCCAATACCATCAGTAAACACAGCCCACAGGAAAACAATACAAGGACAAAGTCTTCCTAAAGCCAGCTGGAGAAAAAGAATAGTAATTAATAAAATAATCTTTCATCCGTCCTCTGTATGAAAGCAACATGCCAGTTAAAGTTCGTGTAAGAATGTGCCATAAAGAACACACACCATGAACTCTCTGCTGAACACTGCAGACACATAGGGACCCTTAGGAATTTGCTGATTTATTGCTGTTTGCATTTTGTTAAAGTTAATATGCACCGTGTTTGAAAAACATGCACACTTCAAAAGCTGAAATGTATTTTAGTGTGAATTGCTTCTGTGTGCGTTTGTGTGTCAAGCGGGCGTCATGCTGGTTCCTGAGGGCCGTACTGAAGATGGATTTGAGCAGCACTTTGGGGTGAACTACTTAGGCCACTTCCTGTTGACCTGGCTACTCCTGGATGCACTGAAGGATTCTGGGAAATGTGGTCACTTCTCTCGTGTGGTCAATGTCTCCTCCTCTGCCCACTGCATTGGCAAGATCAGACTAAATGATTTAAATAGCTGGTAGGTTCAACCATACACACACATAAACACACACACACACACTGACATGCAAACATTACATTTAGATATTGAGTGAATGGTTTACTGCAAATAATAAATGATAAAAATCAGTACATAAATACAAAAATCAAAAATGACCTGCTTGTTAGATGTGCAAACATTCAAAACAAGAAAAACTGATTCTTGCACTTAACTCTAATGCTTGCTGGTTGTTAGCCATTAGTAATGTCTAGCATCATTTAGCAGTCACAACCATATCTAACGTTGTATTACATATCTGCCCATTTACATAACAAGCTATGTTAAGGAAACACTTATTCAGGCCTGCTGTGTTGTTTTATTTGGAAGAACATTTGAAGTACAAACCTGTCACACTCACCTGCACGCTCTCTCTATGCTGGCCTCGCCAACACAAGAGTCTCAGTTTCTGCTGGCAACTGTTGGCTCCAGTTGGCCCAGTATCATGCCAGCCCGCAGCGCTGCTGTCCAGAAGTATTAGCAGTCTAAACATCTTCATTGTGTTGTTTCATTGCCATAGTGGTGGGCTATGGTGCAGTGTGCCTAGACTCACAGGACATGTTACAAAATCTTAACTAGCCTTTAATATCCCAATCCAATACAAAATCCCTTCAATCCAATACGCTGGCATGGCTGTAGTGATGCCCTCTAGGATTTTTGGAAGAGGACAGAACAAACAAGACTCATTATATTTTACACTCGCACCAACTGTTACCTAAAATAAAATACCTAATAAAATTGAACATCATTATCCTGAAGTGAATTTAATACTCAGACAGTCTCATTTTGCAGACGTGTGTATCATTGGGACAAACTTTACACACAGGATATCAGTATACTATTATAATATTACAAGTCTGTGCGACAACAATTTAAGCAATAATCAACAAAATGCACACACAAAGAGCAGATATACAAAAAGAAATGCATTGTATCTCTCACTGTTAGACAGATGTCAGAAGTGCAGATACTTAACTTTCCAGAAGATGGCGTACATTGGCATGTCTCTGTCCACAGGCCTAAACTGCTGCTGCTCTTACTTACATTGCTGATAGGTGGCGCAGGCTGCAGCACCACTGAAAAGCCAGGCACAAAACACATATCAGAAATCTTTTATGTTATATTATGAGAACTGTAAAGAATTTTTCAGTTCATTATTAAACTGTGGTGCGAGAAATTTAGTCTAGGTACTGAATGACAAACACTGTGACACATTTACCAGGTAGTAAGAGAAGAAGAATGCTCTGCAGAGCCTCATTTCTGTCCAAGAAACATCCATGACACATACATGACACATGGCCATGTGTAATGTGCCACCTGACTTATCCAAGCATCTAAAGTGCACTTTAAGCACACAGTGTATAGGTGTTGTGCACCCGCCTATGTAGGTGCATATTACTCTCTTGGTAATGTGCCCTTAAAATAACAGTGAAATACTTTGCCTTGACTTCAGACCAGGTTTTTGATGGTGTTTCACTTTGCACCTGTGAGTCACTGTGCGAACTTGACTATTGAATGGTAAATGAGCCACAGTCGTCCCCATTGAACCTTAGGATGCAGAGGTCTTGTTTAGTTTCAGTGTAAGACGAACCTATCCTGCTGAACAAGAACACTTTTTTCTTCCGTGAGAACATAGATATACTATATTTTGTGGAAACAATTGATTGGAATGAACTGAAGAAAACTGAGACAGCAGTTTACCTGCCTGTTATCATTGTTGTATTTGAACAGAAGCACATTTCATTGTTTTTATTTAAAGGTCTGACCTTGTTTCTTGCTTCCTCTCTCTTCAGCCAGTGTTATTCAGCCCATGCTGCTTATTGTCACAGTAAGCTGGCCCAGCTGTTATTTAGCTCCCATCTCCACCAGGAGCTGCAGCATGGAGGTTCCCCAGTGAGTTCATGTGCTGTGGATCCTGGCATGGTGGATACAGCTCTGTACCGCCACCTCTGGATGCCCCTCCGTCTGGCACACAGCACCGTTGCTCACCTACTTTTGAGGGTAAAAAACTGTCCTGACTTTCATCTGCTTTATTCACACATCAGGATGACATAAATCAAGTTTGATTTACTCTAATATTAAAAAAAAAACTGTCAGTAACTTTGAAGCCTACATCATTTGCTTTCCTGGAAAGAAACTGCTGCTGTCACTGTTCAGTTTTGCTCAAGGTACCACAGTGACCTGAAACATCAAACTCGACTGCAGATAATGTTCAGAATTTTATTAAACAAGATGAAACACAGACACTCATTCATACGCACACAAATACACACAGTCTATCCACATTGCTGAAAATGGAAGTGCTACTAAAAATCAAAGCAGGCTCTTCGCTGTGTGTTAGATTTTAAAACATTTCTTGCATAGCTTAAAGTGGTGGCCGCAGGCTGTTGTTAATGTCCCTGGCATTTAATGGAAGGAGACGTGTGAGCGTGTTTGAGCCTAAAACTGCAATTGTCACAGGCATTTGCCTCAGAGCACAACCTGTGGGATGATTCTGCCCCACATACGCAAACACATAAATCACAAGCTCATGCATGTAATCATTAACACACACACGCACAAACACACACAAACCGATTCTCTCAGTGAAAGAAGAAGATGGATAAAGATAAAATGAAAGAGAGAGAGAGAGAGAGAACAGACCAAGCAATGTTCAGGGAGGTAGAAAAGAAACAAAACAATCCAATCATTAATAAAAATAAACCAAAATACTCTAAACTAAACTAAAAAACTCTCAACCCTCAGACAGTAGTTTAAACTTTTGGTGTCCAAGTAATGTTTTCAGTGAAATGAAATGTACCCCTCGGGTTGTGCTAAAAAGACTAGTATGAAAAATAAGGATTAGAAAAAGAAGAAATATGATAAAAAAAAGTGAGGCGCAAGTGAGGTCTTATGTTGTGTTGATGAAAATCTTTCATTTTATGAATGTCATGTGTTCACATGCATAATTTTTCCCTGAACAGACTGACAGTTTTAGACAGCAAATAAGGTAAATGCAAGGCACTTAGTATTCTGACGCTCTTTAAAACATCAATGAAACCTGCATCACCTTTGGGAAACATGACACAATCAATATTCGTAGGAAGTCGTCATTATTATTAGCGAATATTGTTTAAAAAAATGCAGTGTCCTTGGCGAGCAGAGCAGTGAAATCAGATACAACAGAGCAAGAAGCAAGCCACAATGAGTGGCCTGTTGTCATGGAAACATTTTTTAATATATATTTTAGTTTTTTCTCTTCACAGAAAGTGTTCTAGGAAGCATCTTTCCGAGCTACAGTATAACCCCTCCATTTATGAACAGACCTCTAAACTACAGACAACAAAATGAATATTAAAGCACAAGCTGTGTTTGCTAGTATTGTCAAAAATGCAGCTCTGCAAGCAAAATAATTCATTCAGAACAATTAAAATTCATGTTGGGAAATACAGTCGAGTACTACGGCACACAGTGACAAACACATACACACACGCACTATTTCACACACAAGTATGCCAGTGTACTGTTGATGCTCGCAGGATGTGATCCCCTCTCTGCTCTGAAACCTGCTCCTGGTCTCACAGCTGACACTGAGATCATTGTTAAAAAGCATCAACACTAACACTCAGGCACATGCACACTTATGCATGCAGACACACACACACAGACGCATACCCTGAGCCTTCTTTTCACTGACACTAACGTACAATGACATCAGTCCTCCTCTGGCATTCTCTCACACTCACACTCACACACACACACACACACACACACAGTCTTTGTTTTTTGCAGTGATAACTTGTTGTTGAACTTGTCATCCTGCAGTCACTCCAAATCCTTTTGATGTTTATATATTTTTGGTATGCAATGATTTTTTTTAAAATTTAGATGTGTGTGTGTGTGTGTTCACATGCACTGTCCACAGACTCCTGCAGAGGGGGCTGCCACAGTGCTGTATGCCGCCCTATCACCGGCCCTGGAGGGGGAGTTTGGAGGAGGCTACTGGGCCAATGGTTGCAGGGAGATGACAACACCGCCGACCTTTGACCCCCAGCTTCAGCTGAGCCTATGGGAGACCAGCCTCCAGTTACTAGGCCTGTAGTAGCATCGGACTAAAGGACAACCAACAGGACTCCACCCTGAAGAAAACATCAGATACAGACCCTGAACTCGGGCCAGCCAGCCACCTTCCTTCTCCTCCTTCCTTTTTTCTCAGTATTTTTTCTCTGTCCATACCTCACATCGAGGTGTTTGTAGCGCTTTATGTTGACAGTGTCACAATCCACCGCTGGACTGTGATTGGTTATTTGGCAAGAAAAGACCTCCTTTTGGTTCCAGACCCGCCAAAAAAGGGCTACTGGTCATGGAAGACATTTTTTTTGTTTTTCACTGTGAGCAAGCAAACATACGTATGCGTACAAACACACTCTAGGGTTACACTGATACATGATTCTACTGTCATATATGCTGGGCAAATGCCGACATCAGTTGTCAATTCTACGATCATAGCTAACCTCAGATGTCTAGCCAGAGAAATCATTTCAGTGTTGTATTCAACAACCTGCTATGGCACCTCCTCCACTCTGCCTTAATGTCACTAGTCTGGCTTTCAATTAAGAGTTTCACTGTCCACAGTAAACTAAATGCTCTTTCAGAGGCTTTTCCATACAAATATAAAATTCGAGGTATGAAAATAGGCTGAATTTTGGCACAGCATACTGGCTGTAAAATCACGTCAGTCAAACCCTAGCACACGCTCTCACACACACACACACACACACGCACACACACGCACACACACGCACACACACGCACATTCATGCACCATGACAATGATCAGAATCTCCAAATCTGAACCCGCCTTGCTGTGGCGGGGGAATGTGATGTCATGACTTTGCTTTGACACATCACAGTGATTTCCCAGCTCGTCTTGCCATCCCGGCCGTTTTACTGGGAGCTCCTTGTTCTTTTGGTACGTTCTTGTGCTTTTGCTGGTTACTACTGTACTGAATCCTCATGTTAACTGCTGGTTGTAGTTGTATGATAAGCTGTGTTTCAAAAAAAAAAAAAAAAAAAAAGGTGACTTCTGCTGTTCTCATGAAGATGCTGGGAAAACGTTATCAACTCCTCCATCCTCCATCTCTCTCTACCGCTCTAAAATCCAACAAAAGACACTCCTTTGGACTGATGGAGGGATTTGGGAAGACAGTGAAAAAAAGAAGAGATCCCATGTAAAAGTAGGGCCAAATGTAGAGCGATTCCCCTCTATAGACTGGAGGGTGATGGGACATTTGTTTTCATTCTGGGGAATTTTCTCGCTGTTGACATTTTCTGAAGCCAGGATTTCCAGACGTTTCTGTTTGCTTTTGTCTGCTCAGAAACAAAAAGGGAAGGATGGGGAACCAACCTCCTCTTCAATCTGTCCCGGTTTTCCTTTGTGATCTGTGTTAATCGGTTTTACTGTGCCTGTGATACGTGTGTGTGTGTGTGTGTGTGTGCGCGCTTTATTACGCATGAGTTAAGAATTAACTCTTGCTATAGACCCAATTCATGTTAATGGATAGCACAACAATGGCCAGTCCAGAAGGAACAGCAACGGACAGGAGAGAGAGGGAAAGCACTTTTTTTTTTTCAACATTCAATCTGTGATTGGTTCCTCATTGCTGCTGCTGGTGCTGCTTCCTCATTTGGCGCCGCTCCCAGTGCATTGTGGGATTGAGATTTCCCAGTGGTGAGAATCAAACTCCATCTGCTAAGCTGACACACACTCACTCTCAAACATTGGAAGCAGTACATCCAGGCACAGGCTTATCTAAACAAGCATACAGCAAACAAATACGTCTGTCTCTCATTCAGGAAAATACTCTCATACTCTCATACACGCACACATACACACAGCCATAACGCCATCGCCACTGTGATTAACCATTTTAGCTGTGAAGATTAAAAGTTTTATCTCAAATTGACAAGTTTTGGCTAAAAGTCCTTCCCCACATGCTCTCCCATAGCTGTATGTGTATATTGTTGCTTTGAATACTGCCACTGAGCATCCAGTATTCGTTATTATCTGCCGTATGTGAAGCAATAGTATCACTGTGGTACTGTACCTAATTCAGCCAGTAGCGCAGAGCCAGACATTCAGACTAGGAAAAGAGTCCAAGACTGTGAAAGTGTATAAATGGAAAAGAAACCAGCTTCAGGTTACTCATATATCAGGAATTCTAAATTTCTTTGTTTTCATGTAGACATGGGTTAGACAATGAAGACATTAAAGTGCACTGTTTTGAATAGATGAATTTATTTAGCTGTATTAAAAAAAAAAAATATATATATATATATATATATATATATATGCCAGTTCAGGAGCTGGATCCTCTGAAGGATGCAGCCCACAAAAGTCTGGTCCTCAGAAGACCTGAATTGGTCTTGACTGAAAGACCTTGGCTGAGGTGAGGCATGTATGTTTGTTTGGTTTTCAGGCACTTAAGTATTATCTAGCAATCTATAAGTCGGAACTTGGTAATCATGATATCAACTCTGATATGACGACATAAAGGCAGAATAACTCTAGGAAAACACATTACAGCTTGGGTTGGCTGTGATTGGTTTCCATTATAGAGTGACTGAAATGTTTCCAATCAGGCCCGTGTTTTTCAAGTGGAAAACAAAATAATTTGATAGAGAGGAGCTGATTCTAGTCGACCAATCAAGGCTCAGTGTGTTGAGGACTTTAATTCGGTTAAATAAATTCAGTTCAGCCTTTAATGTCATTGGATTATTTTGACAAAATATCGCAATCCAGAACCTCACTGTATTTGAAAAGGAAATCCAGCTGAATAAAATGAGATGTTTGAAATTCAACTTTAAAGCAAACATTTCCTGAGTTTGTTTTTTTTTTTTTTATAGTGTAGCAGTTGTGTGGAAAATGACTCTAAATGCCAGCAATACTCCTCAGTTTTCAAGTATTTTTTTCTTCTACTCAGTGTTGGAAACAAAGTGTTAATTGCCTCAGTGCTTCCTTGTTTGACTGTGTGGTTCCTCGAGGCTACTGTACTGACGAAACAACAGAACAGACAACTAAACCTAGTCCCGGTGAAACAAATGTTCTCCCTTCACACAAATGAAAACACCAGCTTACCACTCAGCAGCGCTCATTTAAAAAAGGACAAGGCTACAGTATGAGCTACATCCTGTCTAAGAGCTAGCGTGTTTTTCACAGTCCAGCGGCTACAGTAGATGTATCAAAACCTGAGAGGGAGAACGTCTGAGCACAAGATTTTCCAAAGACGAGGTGAGGCGGAGTGTGGAGGTCTGTCTTGGTGTTCTTGTTGTGTCAGTGTGCAGAGGGGGCTGCTAAATTATCAATGATTACCTTGTTATATATTTAGCATACTCCTGAAGCGTTCTACACAGACAGGACAACACAGTGAACTTTCTGAACTTGAGTTGCAAGTATAGAAAAAGAGCAAAAACAGCTCAAGTAACTGTCTGTGATATCGTCTGTATGTGATTTACTCGTATATGATCATTTTAAAGTGTTGTCACCGCTGGACGTGGACCAGTGGAGCTGTATGTAGACTGAAAATGCTCTAATAGCCATTATTCTGACTGACCTGGGATTACATTTATATTAAATGTTCTGGTCCCAAGTTCTGCAAATCCTAAATGTGTATATGTATAGGAAGAGATAATAAAGATGTATACAGGGGGTAACCAGATGAACTGAGTCTTTACTCTGGTGGCAGGACCAGCTCCAACACATGCAGACATTTTTCTGTCCTCACATTTAGGCTAATGCATATACCTGTATATCATTTTCTCATTTGGTTTGAGTGAGACTTTTCACTTGAGTCCCTGCGGGCTGCAAATAGAGGACATTCCCACCTCAAATCCAGTGTAAACATTCAGTCCATCTGGGCCCCTGAGGATTCATGAAACGTGCAAAATGTTTTATTTTTGTCATTATTTTGTTGTTGTAGGAATACACATTTTATTGCTTTTGCTGTGCCTATGAAGAAAATCTCCCTCATATATGTGTAACTGTGAATTTTCCATGTAGAAATGAGCTTGTAGAAACTGTGATACTGTCTTGTCCTGTGCATTGCTGTAAGTTTTTTCTTCTCTTTGGAGTGAAGGGAATGGAGATGAGGAGTGTGGATGTGTGTGTGTGTGCGTGTGTGCGTGCGTATGTGTCTAGATTAGGGAGTTCATGTCCATGTTTTTTGTCGATGGTTGTGACATTCCAGCAGCAGCCACCACCTTTTCTATTATCCAAAGCCTCTCAATAAACATATCATTGTGCCACTCTTGTTCTCTGTCCTTTGCACTGTGCGAGTGAGAAACTGTCAGTCCGATGACGCTCAGCATGAGACAGCGAGCCTCGAGCACATTCTGAACTTTTGAGATATTCTCAGATCCATCAGTGAATCTTGCGCACACACATACGCAGAAACACACATTTACTAGGCCACTAGGATTAACTCGAACACATTTTTCCTCTCATTAAACATCAGATTTTGTCCACTTAGTACTCAAGTATCCCACCCCTGATACCTTTAAATAGTCTTATATTATTAAATCCATTTGGCAGGCACTTGTGACCAAAGCAACCTACATTTTTTTCCTGTCATACATCAGGTGTAAATGGAGTTCAGTGTCTTGTTCAAAAAGGACTTTTTCTATGAGCTGAGCTGAGCTATGGTTGACCCAATTTATCAGAGGAGTTTTGTTTTCTATCTGATTGATCATTTTCTAAGCCTCACACCCAGAATTACTGTTGCTCTGCTTGCCAAGCTTTCTATTCTAGCACATCTTATAGTCCATTTACATTGTAATGTCCTTGATTTCAGACACCTGCCACAGTAGGTGTCTCTGTGACCACATTTTGCTGATGACAAGCACACACAGACGCACAAGGTGAAAACATTACCAGCCAATGCTGCCATGGCTTGTAAAGATGTTGTTGATTTGACGAGATAAACTAAACTGAAACATGCACCTTTACCTGCTTTACACTAAACACAGAGCACACATGGTCGTCTTCAGATGGTTTAAACGTTGTTGTCACGGACAACAAGACAGCAATGGGTAGCACCTTCAAAGATTTCATGGATATGTGTCTTGAAGACTGTGTCCTGCCTGTCACCCGCCATGCTAGTGTTTATAATAAAAACTCCACCAGATAAAACTCTCATACACCGGGTTGTTTGAATCTGCAGGTTTTTTGCAGGTCAGAATAGCTTATTAGCAGATATAACCTCAGCAGAGAATCACATAGAAAGAAAACTACTGATGCTAGAAATTTCTGATTTTACATAAAATAAATGTATATTTACTCATTTGAATAATAAGCTTGAGAGTGAATGCTGTCTCTTCACGTCTCGCCTTGTCATGTCTCCACTCCTCTCAATCTCTAAAAGAAAGAACAGATTAAGAGGGAATAACAGTTAATAACTTCAGCAATGTGGTAAACACAAGAACAACTGATGAATGTTGAAACTTTGATAATATCACAGAAAAAAATGGACGCTCTTTTTAAACGTCAATTCACTGTGCATGGTCACCCTCTCTTCCCTCAGAAGAAGTCAAATGACAAACGGGCGGAGACAGAATTAATCAACAACTTCAGCGACCAGAAGAACATTTGATCACTGTATGAATTCTGATCATTACAAACAATCAGGATATACTTATCTTTGTCAATAAGAGGGTTCGCAGTGCATATTATTTCCGCTCCTTTAGTCTCTTTTCTTACTTGCGTTGTTTCCTCTCCTCATCTTAAAAGACAGATGACAGATTAGGGGGAATAACAGTTAACGATTTTAGCAATGATATAAACATTAGACCTTCTGATAAAAATAGAAACAATTAATGTATACTTGTCTTTGTTAATGAGATGGCAGTCTCATCCCTCTGTAAAAGACAGACACAGGGAATAACAGTTAATAAATCTAGCAATCAGGTAGAGCAGAAATATTTTTTATAGTTTTTATTTTATAATAAAATAGAATAGATACATGTATATGAATAAATACAGGGTTCACAGTGCATGCTGTCTCTTTGCGGTTTCAGCTTTGCCTGGACTTGTTCCCTCCTCTCTATAGAGGACCAACAAACAAGGGGAAACAATAGTTGACTTCAGCAACCAGAAGAATGATTTAAATATAAAAGAATTTAAAATATCAACTTGGAATAAATGTTTATTTTTCTTTTTATGCAAGAAGGTTCATGCACTGTGAACCTCGTCTCCTTCGCCTCATCTCATCTCAGATCCTCTGGACTCCTCTTTTCTTTCTTTAAAAGACAAATGCCAGATAAGGCAGAATAACAGTTGATAACTTCAGTGGCATAAACAGAAGAACTACTGATCAATATTTGTGATAGCAACATCAAATAACTGCATGTCTATCTTTTTCAAGTGAGAGAGTGCTGTCGCCTCTCCTCTCCCCTCTTGTGTCTTAAAGACAAACAGCTGATAGGGGAGGAGACAGTTAATACTTTGAGGTATTTGTAATATTTGGGACGTCATTTCAGAAACATCTGCCACTACTCTCTGACAGGTCTGTCAACAAAACTGTACATTACAGGCCTCGGTACACCATAAAGACTATATATTTAACTGAGTGCTGACACTGACAGTAACATTAACTTTAGTTTATTACACATTCATGTCACCATTGATCATAGTGTAGTATTTAGAGGGAGCTACTACACCATCAGCACAACACGGTAAAGGCCCACTTACCATTCTTTTCATTCTTCTTTCAGAGCAAAGTTAATCTTCATTTAAAAGTTAACACATCTTGGCTTCCATCCTTCACAACCAGATCAGTGTGTAATGCTCTGTCCACTGTTGGCTGCTCCAGTTAGCTAGTTATTTCTGTCCCGTCCGTCTTCTTCTTCCGTCAGTCTGACTCTGTCCCTGCAGTTGGATGTTCCCTCTTGTGATTCTCACTCCTCACTCAGACTGAAATCTTAAATTTAATCTGAACTGATGAGGAGTCTGCAACATTAGATCAAGTTGTATGTTTCTCTAGCTCTAGAAAACACATTCAACCTTATTTGTTGAAGGAAGAAGAAGGAAGAAATCCATCCATCTAACACTTCTTGGCAGCTTCTTCCAAGAAAGCTCACTGTTGTTTCCACTATGTCAGACACACAGGTCACTTCTAAGAAATAAAGATAGGTGCACTGAAAACACCGACCTGTGATATCATTTTGGTAACCTGCCAGATGCAGGGCACAAACATTGTCAGACATATTGTAACCCACTCTTGGGTGCGCAATGATCGAGATTTGGGATTAGTTAAGTGTAGAGTGTAATAAACATATACACACACAACAGCTGAGTTTGATTAACTGCACCTTTAGTGTGCTTCACAATGCAAAATACCACAAATTACACAGGTATGAAAAATAACAAACTGGGTCCTTTAAAGTAAACTAAATTGTCCTTAAGTGTGACTTTTTCACACTTTTTTTCAGTTCCAGGTCAGTGTGAGATGACCAAGTCAATAATGTGCGCAAAGTCAAATCCAAATCAGACGAAGGTGTGGTTTGTCAAAGTCAGAGTGCACTCTAAGTCAGTGTATGTTCAATGTGGTGCCCGTCCAGGTGACTAGCACAATCCTACCACGACAAAGGGTAAATCCAGATGCCCTGGCAGAATCGTGGATCTGCGTTCCTAGTGGTTCACTGGGTGGCTCGCCATCTACCGGGGATATTGGACGACTTCTCTGAGGGTTTCCTCAATCAAATCCATGAACCCGACCTGTATTTACAACACAGGCTTAGTTTCTGTATGTTTATCTTATCTATCTAAATCTAATTCTTCAGTTATAGGTCTCTTAAATTGTACCACATTTTAATAATCATCAAAATAACAGAGTGTAATTAATCAACATTTATGAAAATTATGTTATTTTCTAGTTCAATTTCTAGTTTCAATATTAGAATTATTTTTCCTAACAGAATGTGTGCTTGACATATATCAACAAGATACAATTATTAAACATATGAATTTAACTGTTTCAACTTAAGCAATATTTAAGTAAACAAAACATATTACACAGTAACAAAAGCTCTTGATTGTAAACATAAAACAAAATAAATTCACGTTTTTCTTTGACCTAAAATGATGGATTTTACACAGAACTTGATATCAATTATCAAATATGTCCCCCTTCAGATATTTGACATTCACCTACATAACACAATACTAAATTGAATTCGTTGAGGACGATTTCACTGTTAGCACACAGCAATTAGCCAAGTAAGCTGAAAGCTAGGCTAGCTTACCGAAACACGAGGAGTGTACCGAACCAGGACAAAACGGCACTCCTCACGATTCGTGGCTCGTGCTGCGAAACTGCTCCACTTCTCTCAACACATACACAACTTCACAAGTGTTATGTCTTTGTTTTCACTCTCCCCAAACTTTTTTATAAGGCTCAACGCGGTGATGCGGAACAATTACCTCTAGCTCAACAGGGCGCTCGGTAGACTCTTCTCTCTCTCTCTGTCACAGCCCCTCCCCCTTTCCCCCCACACAAGCGCGCACTCTCTCTCTCCTAGACTTAATCAATCAATCAAGGCAGGTAAGGGTGGAGCTGATGAGGATTATTGATTTTAACTAAATTGTCACAACTATATTATCAAATAACAGAAAATAAAACATTAACTTAAAACAAATCTTTAACTTTATGAGTTTTTAAATTAGTTTCTTTTTCTTTAACCCATTATTTCCAGCTGGGTTACACCATCTATAAGGCAACTATCGGACCATTCCATCACACTCTTTCACGCATTTCTTCTTTCTTTCTGCCTTTTCACAGTGTGTGGACTCTTTGGTAAATTTACAGAGGACAGGCATGAGAACGTGGCTGTCTGCTCTGCAGTCACTCACTCTCCAGCTGTTTGTCGGACACAGTCTGCGGTCCACCTTCAGCCCTCCCAGCTCTGTCTTCTCAGGAAGAACCAGTCACCAGAACCAGCGGCACCATCGTACCCGCTGGTCTCTCCATTTGAGGAGACAGTCTGCTCCTGCTCCACCTGGACGAATGGTGCGGCCGCCTGAAGAGAGCGGAAGGATCCTTTATAAGGACTGATAGGGAAGTCCTTAGAGCCTGTGATGAGGTTTGGCTCAGGGCAGACCTTAGTCACAGTAGTCAGGATTGGACTAATCGAAGCCTGGATTAATGAAGAATCAGAAAAACAAATATTCAGACAATTGCTTAACACTCAGTAAATAAGTAAAAGAGTAAATAAGTAAA